TACTTCTTCTGCGTTTTCCTGACAGATAACACATTGTTGCCAATCTGTTTTCACCACATCCTTGGACTTAGGCAAAGAACTCATCCTGGCAAAAATGCGAGATCTAAAAAACGGTTCACTTATTCATGCGGTCCCTTGGTCAACGTTTATTCTGAATTAGTATAAACCTCCTTTTCAGGTATGGTTTCTAACTATATCTTTCAAAATGGCGACCACTTTTTAACGATGCAAAAAATTCTTCAAAACTGATTGTAAACACCCCTCAAATACCTTGTATACTCTATCAGATTAGTATACTAAAATAATTAGACAACTTGCCCTGGCCTCTTTCTTTATAAGCGATGGTTAATATGTATTTGCTTCGTTGAATTGTCAATGATAATACAAGTGATGTTTTTATACTTACAGTTCATCTAGTTGGCAATGTATCGACTTCTTTCGTACATGAGATGTAAATGATCACGTAATATTCAAAAGGTCCAACGTTTTAACTGTATATATCTTTATGTTCCGAGAATAACAACTATTTGGTAAAATCGTATTAATGCAATAATGGGAAATAAGTTTGCCCAAGCCAAGTTAGGTAAAAAGAACATGCGCCATTGACACTGTGATCGTCTGATTGACGTATGAAGCGCTTGTACTCAGTCCAGTGCAACAGTATATTTATCTCGGTCGTGGTGGGTCAGCTTATTGGCAAGTATTTTTTGAAGTGGAGGCAAATTATTTATATTGTTTTTCAGAAAGTAGAAAACCCTTGGTAATAATAAAATTCAAAATATAGTTAAAAATACGTATTCCAGGTAATACTAACACCGCGGAAAAACGTCTGCGCATGCGTCAACCTTACCTGTAATAGTATTGCGAAGTTGATGAGAAGAACACCGCGGAAAAACGTCTGCGCATGCGTCAACCTTACCTGAAATAGTATTGCGAACTTGTTGAGAAGCTGTTCCGAACGTTTCCGAAGGCTCAAAATGGCGGTAAAAAGGAGTGACTTCATTGTGCGTCTTTACAGCCAGATTTCGAGCGCAGAAATAAACATGTCATTCTAAAAACTAGGAATAAATACAGCCAGAAGGTTCAAGAAATTGTATTGTACAAGAACATGAACTAAAGGTGATTGTTGACAACTTTATCGTCTGAAACATTTTGTTTATCAACTATGCAACGACAATTTCCGAATTTTAGTTTGAGATA